CTTAAGTAAATAAAAGTTAAAGTAACTCGACGGTTGACTTTTGGTTTACCACGGGACATGAATGGCGGTCCTGTATTTGTTTGACCCATCTATCCCCCCTGACCTCCTCCTTACATGGACTGTAACGCTGTTTGTACTACGTCACCTGACGCCCTCCTTTGCTCCTGTCATAATTACTTCGCCCACCTTCTGGACCTACTCGTAGTTGTAGCAGGCCCTTCTAACCCATATCTATGAGGCTGATAATGGCCATCCAATCAGCTGATAACATTCAAAGCAGCTAACTTGACAAACAGCTAACCTGGCGGCAAATACTGTAGCTTGTTTTCGGGTCTTTAGACAAAATATATTTTGCTGCTATCTGTATTCTGCTGGGTGCACTTATATCTGAAATATCAAGGGGTCAATACAACAGCCCTTTTTCCACTGGGCCCTATCATATACATATATTTATCTGGCTATGCGCCGCCCATCAATCATGTTAACTTTACATTACTGCCTTTAGTACATTTTCCTACCTTCCACTTAGCTGTTGTCTGTTGAGTTACTGTTGGTGGCTGTAAATGCAGATTAATTTGAAAGGCGTGTGCTGTGTGACATAAAGATCACTGTGAGGTTTCCAGTCTGACAACTTGATTTTTCATACGATAGAAGTGAATGGAAACAATTGGCTGCCTGGAGAGCAGGGAAAACAATTCAAAATGGGAAACACTGTATGACATGCTTTGGAAGATGGTGAATTTGTAATAATTGGGATTAAACATGCACTAAACCAGATATGTTTTCAACATATCCCTGCGTGGAAACTGTCCGCCTTCAAGAGAGGTCAGAGGTCAATGTCAGCTACAGACCATCCCCCCTGAAGCCAGCAGTGATCCAAAGGACAGTCTCGCTAACCTCTGCCATTCTGCTTCCCCAAAGATACTGCATTTACTACTGTAGGCATTGTATGTGAGTGAAGCTCTGAAAGAACACACTTTTGTGCACCAGTGACAGTGTGGAGCTTTGAATCAGGATGATAGCAAGAAGAAGCAGCCAGATGAAGAAGCTGCGGGGTCCTGGCACCGCTGATTACAGGCTAATCAGGGGGCAGGGGGAAGGACGGCCATTGGTAATGTGAAGTATCACTTGCCTTGGGTGATACTTGTCTATTCGAGCAAGAACAGCATCTCATAGAGTTGATTAATCTCAACAGTGCTGGTGATGGATGGACATTGAAGAGTGAGAAGACGTACTGCACATGCACACAACCTGGTCAGGGGATAGATCAGATACTTTACAATCTGCTGCGTGTGCAACAGAGGGTCTGATGTTGAAATAATATGTGAAAAACGCAAGTCTTTAACTATTCAATCATGTCACACCCACTAGTAGGTAGATTGGTACACAGCCAAGTTATGCAGCCAAGCATTGTTCAAAGCCACAACATCTATTTTTACATTCCCCCAACATACCAAACATGGTCAGGCTGAGTTATGTGCAAATGTGTCTAAAATGATGCACAAGGGGGACCAAGTGTGCACACACCATTCATGCACATAGTGATGCAAAAAGAAAGTACTTAACTGCAGGGTACAAAATGATACATAAGGCAGATATGTATTTTAACTGGATGAAACAGTAAAGCAATAAAAAAAAAAGTGTCAAATCAGGGTTATGAATATTTCACTCAGTTTGTGGATCATACGTTGTGGAAAATAATGCTATTTGACTTCATAGCATTCGTGTCGAAAGCTCATGCAGTCTCACGATGGCCAGTGCTGTGCCTGGTAATGAATAATGTTGTTGTGTGCACAGTTTTGCCAGATCATCTATGTTTGTTATTTCATTTACAAAAATGTAAAAAAAAATTTGGACCAACTTTCCAATCATAATAAATCATGTATTAATGCTTTTTAGTTATTAAAGATTTTAATTTTAAATACTTGCTGATCTGCGGTGGATGCACAATAACACAAAGTGTGTGTATTATAGTAAGAAATGATAACTGAAAATATTTACATGATTTATATAAGTCAGGAAGCCTCACATAGGATATACAGTATGTTTGCACAGAAGGAGGACTGCTGAGTTTGTCCCCTTCACTTACATTGGAAGTGCATTAGACAGGGAACTCCTAAGAGTCCTTTATCAGAAGGTCAGAGACCAAACAGTATGAAGAGGCGGGACAATTAAAGCAGACAAAAAGTGTTTCGACGTTCACGGTCACCTATCCTTTAATACAAACAAGTTCAGGGTTGTCAGGTTTTGGTTGTTTTTTGTCCACCACAGTAGGACTTGCTTGAATTATAATATAGTTTATTAGGGAGAGCGCTCCGATGAACCGTTTGACCTCTGACTGTTACAGCTCGGTTACTTCTATCTAGCCTTTTCCTCCTTTCACTCACCTGATCAGTTCATTCAGTGCACCTGCCAGTCACACTCACCTCATCAGCTCATCACTCTCACCTGCTCACTCTGCCTCTTCACTATTTAAACCCCTGCCTCACACACACTCACTGCCAGATCGTTCGTTGCTTTCATGCTCAATTTTCCCGCACTCACCCATGGACTGATTCCCTGTTGCCGACCCTGCCTGTCCCGGACTACCTCGCCTTGCCCCTGCCCTGGAAACTTACTCAGCCCGTCTGTCCTTGACCCCGAGAAACCTGTCGTGGATTCTGCCAGAGAATATTCTGCCTGTCGTGTGTTGCTAATAAAGAACTCAAATCAAACCAGTCCGGGTCTTGTCGTACTGCTCCTGGGTCCTAACTACACCCGTAACACTGACCTTCTGAAGAAGGGGCTTCTACGTTTACCCCTGCAGACTGGGTCCTTTATTGTAACAAACATTATTGATGACTTTGTTACAAACGCATACACTCATGACTTATTGCCTTTTGCTGTTTGCTTAGCATCCCATTATTAATGATTTGACTATTAATGGCTCACTGACCGGAGAGGTTTTTCACAACTGGTCAACCCTAAACTTGTTCTTATGTATAGCTCAGAACTATAATGTCAAATAAAGCTTATAGATCCTTTGTAGTGGGTGTCTAACGAGAGAGCGCCATTCTTTTTCTACTCCGGGGTCCTTTTCGATCATGCCGTGTATATTTACATATTTTAACTATATTACAGATTACATATTGTATTTTCAGTGTTATTTTAATACAACAAAATTACTAAATAGATACATAATCAAATGAAATGCAAGAGTTTACAGGGTTTTTGTAAAGATATATACTGTATATATATATATATATATAACCTGTGGTTTTTATAGTGCTTACATTCTGATTGATCAGTCGACAATCGAGCAGGTGTTTTGAAGTGACTATGTGTCAGATTCTTGTGTCTTATTCAGAGAACTTTGTGCAGTGTTTTACAAAGAAGTTGTTGAATGTTTTTCTCTGTATTTATCTCGTTGGTCTGTCTCCCAGTGTTTCTACCGTCACTGTCTATATCTCATATGCGTTACATTAATGCACATCTTTACTATCTTCCCACATGCACATATTCTTGAGCTCATGTGAACTTCTGTACGTCCTCTGTTCAATATGTTTGCACATTCCTGCACAAACTGTAAAGCTCTCTCCCTTTAGAAATACATATATTTTATGTTTCTTATGTTTCTTATATTTTTTCATATTGGCTTTTGTAAATGTTTTTTAATTTATATTATATCTCTCGACTTTGCACTGTATTTATTGTTATGCACCATAACACCAAGACAAATCCCCTTCATGTGCAAACCTACTTGGCAATAACATTGATTCGCTTTGGGAACGCACTACAGCCCCCAATCTCTTGAATTAGTATGTAGTATTGAATTAGGACACAGGACCGTGTGTGTGTGTGTGTGTGTGTGTGTGTGTGTGTGTGTATGCATGGTGGTGACAGCATGACCAAGCCTCATCATTCAACTTGTGTGGCCGAGGAACTGTTCACCTTCTCACTATAATGACATATTCTATTATGAAATTCACCTCCTGACTTTAAAATCATCAAGCCTTTAAAACTAGTCAACACATTTTTCAGGTGATTATGCAAACACAAACACAGGCATGAGCATCCATCACAACCTGCATTACAAGGTTGTGGAGTCAGCTGGTGTCAGCTGTGTCCAACACCAACACATCCAATTAAAAGATGCCTGACAGAGCAGAGTTTATCTTCAAATAACTTCTTTCCTTCACAAGTCTCTTGCCATCTATCCAATAGAAAGAGGAGTTTGGATGCAATTGGGATAATAATTTGGGATACACAGACTACGCAGTGTGAGAATTAATACAGTAATAATCTTTGGTACTTAATTTGAAGCGATGAAAATATAGAGCGATTGTTCAAATTGCTGCAACTATCCAGGGAGACAACTCTCTAACATCACCCATGTTTTGCAGCCTTCTTCTCTATTTTGTCAGGGGATATGAATAATGCAGGGGGGCTGCAAAAACACACTATCGGCCATTCTACTATTGTGACTAGAGCACCAGGAGATAGGCTGCAGTCATTTGGAGGACTTCTAGTTTTTATTTTCCAAGGCTTGAAAATGACATTTTTTATCAGCCTGCTTGAGGGTTTTTTGTTTTTTTTTGAAAATGTAAAAGTTGAGCTAATATAACGAAAGTATGGAATAATCATGTAAGAATGTTGAACTATTATGAGGCAGCAATGTCCATTATATAGGATGTGTTCTGACTGATAACTTTAGGCTTTGAGGATAGGTACCGTACGCCCGTTTTGTGTATATTATCTGACTGAAATGTCAGGAAATAGCACATCTGTGTTAGTGTTCATGTGTTCGTTACATTACGGAGTGTGTTTTCCGCGGAAGATCAGTGAGCCGTAGGAGCGCATGGAGGGACTGACAAAAGAAAGCGGGGAAAACCGAAAGCTTCCCGGGCGGAAAATAAGACAAAAAACATGTCATTCAGGAGTAACAAGGCAGTAGGCTAAAAAGCTTCTCTCTACACTCCAAAAATCAAAAACGGGGAGTAAATATGTTTGACAATTCCTACCTTTAGCGACCATGTCCGTCACCGCCGCCACAACAAGCAGGAGAGGAAAATAATGTCTGATCGCATTCATCACGTTTTCCCAACGTTTTGCGCTTCTCAAGCTTTGTAGTAGTGACCGTCCTTGGGTCCAACACTTTCTTCTGACGGACTGAAACACTTAGAGCTCCGCCAAACGCCGACTGCACACACGAAGCGCTCCTGTATCTCAGCTGTCTGAATTTACTCCTTGCCGGCTTTTAGTTTGGGTCCGCCACCACGACTACAGACCCGAGACGGTACTGAGTCCACTGACTCACTGCCTAGACCGTAGAGCTGCTGCTGCTGCCCCGCTCTGCGCTCTGTGCTGGGAGCCTCCTCTTCAGGGCACTGCATTCAGCACCAGGGACAGCTCCTAGCGTTGGCCAATGGAACACTCGGAAAGCAAATGAAGCTCAAAGTTTGGGACATACTGAATTAAAATCTCGTAATTTAACTACTAAATGTGCGTTTTGAATATTGATACACAGAATATTCTCGAAAAAGCATAAATTATATTTTTCAGTTGAAAGGGAAGTGGTGGAAGTAGTATACTTATATGTAAAAATGCAAGTCAAAGCCCTGCATGCAACACTGTACAATTAAAGACTCACCTAGGCAAGGCAAGTTTATTTATCAATTCATGAATGTGAATTAGTTTAGGGTGCTGATGGGCAGGTGGTGCCTTGCATGATAGCCTCTGCCATCAGTGTATGTGGGTGAATGTTGACATCTAGTGCTAAAGCGCTTTGAGTGGTCGGAAGATAAGAAAGTCCACTTACCATTACATGAAAAGCAAAGAGACAAAGTGCAGAAGAAACACTATAAAAGAACATTTAAACAATTTCAAGTTATTTCAAGAAACTTCAATTTTGTGTTGATTTTGTGGACAAAAGCAGTAGTGTTTCTGAGAGCCAGAGTCCCTTTAGAAAATCTCTCATTTTACTGCAGCAGGGTCTGACAGGCCTGACGGTCTGCCGCCCGCTGTCCTGGCTCTGATTCTCCCGTGCCTTACTTTCTTCCAGTACGTTCATCAATACGGCCTGGGTCTCCAGCAGCGTGATGTCGGTGTTGGCTCCCAGAGGGGACCGCTGGAGCAGCAAGGAGAAGCTCTGCTTCTGGCTGGAAGAGGAGACGCTGCTGCGGCTCTGAGCTCTCCTGCCAGAGCCCGACTGCTCTTTTACTTATGTAGGTCATATGGAGGCATCAGTATTAAATTGAAACTGTTATAACCAAAATGTTAAATGTTCCTCTCAGTAACATTAAAACATTCAAGAGCCAAGAGAATAGAAAATAAAACCAAGCTAAAATGGCATAAGACATGGGTATAAAATACAAGAATACAATTAATAGTGCAATTTAACATATGATTTAAAATAAATGTCTTCACCTTAATTCAAAAGAAGGGAGGGTTGCAGCTGAAACTGAATGCTGCTGACCTAAAAGGCCTTGATGGTTCATAATTGAAGACCAGAATCAAACCATGCAGTGCTTTATAAACCAACGATAGTATTTTGAAGTCAATTCAGTTTATAGACCTCAGAACTAGAGCGATGTGATCCTTTTATTTAAGGAGACCTGTGAAGACAATGTTACAGTACTCGGGTCTACTGAAGATAAATGCATGGACAAGTTTTTCAAAATCCTAAATGACAAGTCCTTTAATCCTTGATACATTCTTGAGGTGATAGTAAGCTGACTTTGTAAATGCCTTATTGTGGCTGTTGAAATTCAGGTCTGAGTGCATGAATACACCGAGATGACTAAACGTCATGGTTCCGTTTTAACTCGCTTAGTGGACTAATCTTAGAAGGCTTGAAAGTAGCAGTCTGGACTCTGAACTGGTCGAGCTACCTCTGAATTACTTATTTTCTTACTGCAGACTACAGCTTGCTGGCCTTTGCACAAACACATTTTAGAATGTTATGTATGTTAGCCTTTCCTTGTCATACTAGGACTAACTAGCTCTACACTGTACGTTTATTATGTCTGGGTCTTTTAGCTCCAAATCACATGCGTGTAGCCATGTGACAGCGATGCTACAGCCACACAATTGAATATTTCACATCCACCCACATAATTACCCGATATTCAGTTATTTTTATTTGTAGTCACTTAAAACTACATACAACATCAAAAGTTTGTTTAGTCTACAATTTGTATTGGCACCTTTCACAATTCACTGTTTTCTTGATGATGCATGAACATTTATAGTGTTTTGTTATATGGCTATTTGGTTTAATTATGTTATATTTTTCAATTTCTCTTTGCAGCTGAGAGGCCTGGCTGCTGAGCTCTCCTTCCAGGTCTAACAAAAGACAGGTCTGAGGCTGTAGCCTGGTTTCATGCAGAGGCCCAAGCCAAGGTCCATACCCAGCATTATGTTGTATTGATTGTTAGTTATGGTCCATCTTGTCCTCCCCTGTGTGTGTTTTTTAGTCAGCCAGTATATAAGGTTCCCTCAGATTTCATTAGAGGAGGTCTGTTTTGCTATACTCTATGGTATATATTCTCCTCCAATCACGGGCATGCATTCGCTGACGGAAAATTTGAATAAGCCTAGCCGGCCAATCAGGATGTGCTTCCCTGAATAAGTGTGGAACCCACAGTATATAATGCAGTGCAGACCGCTGTCTGCTACCCTACAACCCCTTCAGCGAGCAGCATAGGAGCGGCAGGGCCCCCTTGGTAGCGAACTCTGCCTCTGCCTACAGAACTAGGGTTACAATAACGTAAACTTTGTTCTAACTCACATTGGTTCATCCGTCTACTGGACTCTGTGGGTGCAGGGGATGGAGCCCAATCAATTTACGCAACAGCGGAGAAGAAGGGGGCCACAGCCAGCCAAGGTAGTAGGTAGCTGAACTGACTAGGGCCATGACCTATCCCTGGAGGGGTCAAAAGAGAAGACAAACATGCCCAAAGCACACGACCAGCTGTTCAGTGCGCCTGATGGGGGCCGTATGTTCAACATACCATGCCAACACAGAAACTGGGCAATGTAGTCACATGTGGGTGACATGTGGCCCCCACATGTGACTGCAGCTGTTCGCTGAAGAGGAGAAGGATAGAAGACAACCAGTAGAGGGCGGAGCCTGTGTGAGCTAGAACGAGTAACCCTCGTTGTATATGCAGAGGCGGAGCCCTCTACCAAAGGGGCCCTGTTGCTCCTACACTGCGCGATGAATAGGATATTCAGGGAGGTCCGTCATTTGCACGTCATTTGCTGGCTACACTTTTGCAAATTTGGGTAACACTTTATAATAACACTATGATAGTTAAGTATGAGTAAAACTTAATTCATCATTTATAAAGCATTGTTCCTACATTAACACTCATTAGTATGCAATTCATAACAGTTATAAATGTTTTATTCTTGATTAATAAGCTCGATTATTATAGGTTTCATGATTGTGTTTTCATACTTTATAAGTGATAGATTCACCATTTGTAAATTAAGTATTATATATATATATATTAAAAAACAATTATTAAGGAGTTGTAGATGATTAATAACATCCTTTATAAAGTGTAAGTAACTGATTAAGAACGTATTTAGATGTACATTATTCATGCGTTTATATATAAAATGATTAAAATATGCACTAATGGTTAGGGACTGTGTTAATATGCTTTATAAACACGTATTAATACTGCAATTCATGATTAAGTATAAGTATTTTGTGTGACCTCGTTAAGTATTTTGTGTGACCTCATCTAAAGTGGGGACTATCTATGTCTTACAAAGCATTTATAAATGACATTGAAAGGCCAACAGTGCCTGAAAACCCATAAAAGTCTCAGTTATCTTCTCAACAGAAAAGTCAAATAGACACAACACAAAGTGATCAAGAACATATCAATATTTATTGCAAGATGCAAACAATATACTCTTAAATACATACCTCTCAGCCATTCATTCGTGTAAAAACCAAAACAAACAGATTCTCCACGGGGGGCTTTAGACAAGAGACTATGCCCTGGACAGGTTGCCAGTCAACCATGCCTAACAAGAATCACCAATTAACCTAACCTGTTAATATAAATTATTATTATAAATTACTGTTGCCCATGATGTGATAAGTCCTTCATGTCAACTAAATGTGATCTAACAAGTAAAAACCAACAAACTGTCTATGAAAATCTTACTTATATTATTAAGACGTCAGTGTGAAAATGATGCCCATACTGTATTTAATCTCCAACATAATCTCTAATTGCATATTTATTATGTGTTGGTTTGAATTCCTGTCAAAGGAAGAAAAAACTAACGGAAGCTCAGTAGAAAAGAATTGCTTAAAGCAGTCTTTTACATAGATTAGCCATACAACGACGTAAGCACCAAGGTGTTTGCTCTCTGGAAATAGCTATCTGTATAAAAGAGAACCATACAAGAGTAGACAGTGAGCTGTTGAATGTTTTGCTTTGCTGTGTCAAAAATGTTTTTTAGACACATGTATGTAGACAGATGTATGAGTTTGTGTCTCATCTGTCAACTTATGCTTGGAAATCTACATACTTCCTGACACTGATGTGTCTCTCTTCCTGCTTTGACTCACCAAGCACAGGTTTGATTTGACAGTGTTGCATCAGCCCTTTATGAGCGCAATATTTTTAATCATTTGGTTTTGCGTCATCCTACTGCTGAACCTCTGGCTACTTAAAACCCAATGAAGACCTTTGGAGAGCTGATCTCAGCTCTGCGTTGTGAAGCATTTGCAGCCGAGGTGCTCGACACCCCTCCAGCATGTGTCCAGTCTTGCACCTCGCTGAGAGATGACTCACTACGTCAATGCGGGAGAATGTCTCTGACACAGAAACAGTGTTGAATCTACTCAACATAGTTGCTGTGATTTACGCACCTTTGCCTCATGGCAGATAAGCTATTCATAGATAAAACACACAAGGCAAGTTATGCACAGGCATTACTCATCACATTAAAAGCCCAGTCTGCAGTCTTTTGACCACTGAGGTCTCTTCACAAATTAACTGAGGAAAAAAAACATCATGTATTTAATATGTTTTACTGCCAATGTTAGATTATACACACACATATATATATATATATATATATATATATATATATATATATATATACAAACAACATTGCTGATGAAACAAACATTTAAAGGAGACATATTTTCACTTTCAGGTTCATACTTATTTTGGATTTTTGGATTTCTTCCAATACATGTTCCAATACATGCTTTAATGTTTAAACTCACTCTGAGTGTCAACTACACAGAGTTTAGCAGCAATTCTACCGGTGACTGTACAGTTGTGACATCACAACCTTACGGAAGTCCCGACGGCTTGTTTAAAGGCACAGTTTCTAA